ATATAATATTATATAATATAATATAATATAAATTGAGCCTCTTGAATCTTTAAAATTGGGCTGAAAATTTCATGAGAATATGGTCTCTTAAAGGACTTTTCCTCTTATTCTGGCTTAAGAAGTACAGAGAACAGTGATAATGAAAATATACTAGATTGAAAATAATTGACCAAATTTTTCAGACCTCCCAAAAGGTTCAGCTCAGGATCAATTCAAGTTTTGGGGAAAGGTTGCTCTATTGTCTAAATTATTTTTTCCTGTCTCTAATGTGGGTTGGTCAAATTCTCTTCCAACTATGCTTCAACTTTGTTGACCTGGCTTGAAAGGAGTGAACTTGTAATGACAAGGTGAATTTGGACTTATTAGGGCTATGTTGCTGAGGTCACAGCTTGTTTCCAGTGCTTAGGCAGAAATCCTCACTGATGTCAGTGAAGATTCTCACTCAAAAATGATGGGACTATCTGATAATTGGTAATAACAAGAGGTGAACCTGAACCACAACCTGAGATCCAAACACAGCTAACATTTTTGAACAGTTTTAATTTGGATCTCAGTCATTTTCAGTGACCCTGGTCTTTATATCAGGCTGAATAAAAAAAAATTCTTATAATCTTTGGAAATGTTCAAATCCCACTTTGAATCTAAAGTTTTGAGCTATCTATTATAATTACTGTTCTTTAATATAATGATGTCTGTTTATTATTTCACACAATGTTTTAGAAGTGTTTGAAGACTGAAGAATTGAAGATACAATTCTCTTAATGACAGAAATCAGTATTCTACTGTGGAAACACCATGCTTTCTTTTAATTATTCCAGATGTTTTGTGCGTTAAAGTATGAATCCCTCAGAGGACACAAATAAATAGCCAGTTTCCTTTATAGCTGCTCTAAGGAGAATAGAAAAGAAAATACTCATTTTCCCTTTTATCTTTTTTCCTTAGAGAATACAAATGAATGGCCTGTCTTCCTTCAGAATACAGAACACAAGGTATTTATTGCTATCATCTTAGGAAGCTAATAGGCAAATGGGCAAAAGGTCAGGAATACCAAGAAAAAAATCCACTGGTACTGAAGCAATATATCTTTCATAAAAGTTGAAGCTAAAATGCACCATAAAAGTTGTGGGATTTTAAATATGACTATAATAAATCAAACCTTCATCTCTGTGTTTATTTTCTTACTGTTTGGCAAAGCTCATTAGAATAAATGAAAAGATAAAACAAGTTCTGAGATTCAAGCAGAAGCATACCCGAAAGCACAGTTGATCTGTACATCAGCTTTTAATTTAAGTCTACAACTTTTATTAAAAGTAATGTTCTCCATCAAGGGCAAAGAGCTTTTATCAACCTGTCACTCTTTTACTGGCATTCAATCTATTACAGTTTATGAGAAAAAGAAATGCACTTCTCTAAAGCACTCCATGCTAAGGAAAAGAAATCAACACTCACTCTCACAATCACTGAAGTGGCCTTACTCTCAAAAAAAGTGCATAGTAACATGACCTTTTTTGTGACAGCTGTCGTAACAGTCATCTTCATTTTATTGAGCAGTAAGCATAAAAATATGGACTGTTTGGTGGTCAATAGCTGGCTTAAGGCAAAGTGTATTCATGTACTGGTGCTACTGCTATTGTGTACAAGCACTATATTTCAATCGGCTTTTTCTCATTATAAAAAAGGACTGTGCTACTGTGGATATACTGGACATGGACCAGAAGAAAGACACATATAAAAAGGAAACTGTGTAGATATTAGCACCATCATTTTTCAAAGCCTTAACGCTTGATTGCTCAAATATAAGCATACAAAATCCCATGGTTTTTTGGTTCACCTTAGGATCTAGAGATTAACCTTTCATGATACTTTAATATATAATATAAAATGATTATATAATACGCCTGTAAAAATATGCTAAAATGTTAACTATTCTGCCTGTGCTTCTAACACATGATAGACACAAATAATTACACCACAATAAAATGAGATGTACTGCATATTCTCTAAAATTAGTAGCTAAAATCATACATTCTATATTTCCTAGCTTGGTGGCTTGCAGCTTGTCTAACAAAAAGGTTTTTCATGGCATGTTGGGGTGCGAATCTACCCTGTGCTACCCTGCTGAGCACTATCTGTCCACACGGGACACGATGACACTCTCACAGTTTATCTGTGTGCCCTAATCTGCCTCACTGGGAAATGAGAGTAGAACAAAGCACACACACCAGCTTGTTTGTTATCATCATTTAAACCATGTCCAGACTTGACCTATTATTTTCCCCCTTGTGTTGCAACCAATTTTTAGGGGATCAACTGTAATAAGATGTCATGATAATGTTAATGTATACATTGACAATAGAAATAAACTACATTATGTCTCTGCATAACTAGATTAGTACTACCGGTTTTGTTAATAAAACAATGATAGTAGGAGTGAAGATACCTTTTGATATTCCTTGATGTTAACCAGGTTGAAAGAAACTATGTGATCCTTTGCTCCAACATATAGTCTACTCCGTTCCTCATCCAAAAGGAAAGTGTGGTAATTGGAGCTATTGGCTAATCCATTGAAAGTGATTACATTGTTGGTTTCCAACATCTCTGCAAGATAAAGTTAAGGGTTTTTGTTAATTTGATACTGGTCAAGAAGAACACAGGCTAATGTCCTGATCCTGGAAAAACTTCACTGTGAGGATATATGCAGCTTCATTGACTTTATGGGAAAAGTTAGGTGCATAAAGATTAGCATATTTGTAAATTTGTGGCAAATGAAGGCCTAAGCTCAGTTACACAAGCGCTGAACTATGAATGAAATTCTGCACAAGGCCATGACACCACTTAAAGCCCATTGAAAACTTATTTTAAGAATTTATGTGGGGCGTGGGGAATTTTTCCACAGGGAACTAATGAGGTGTGAGCCAAATTTTGTACTTTTACATTCAAAGAGAGTTGCAGGCATATATTTGAGGATGAATCTGGATAACTGACGTAAATTAAATATGGAGGCTAACTCTTATTGTAAGTTTGTGGGCATTCACAAGCCATTTACATAGGCTATTAAAATATACGGGGAAAGGTTACAAATGTGACTAGCTGTTGAGATAAAAGCCACATGTTAAACAAGCTCCTTACTTATATTACTAATAACATCTGAGGGTATGTCTACACTACCCCGCTAGTTCGAACTAGCGGGGTAATGTATGCATACCGAACGTGCAAATGAAGCCCGGGATTTGAATTTCCCGGGCTTCATTTGCATAAGCCGGCCGGCGCCATTTTTAAATGCTGGCTTGTTCGAACCCCATGCCGCGCGGCTACACACGACACGGGCTAGATAGTTCGAACTAGCAAGCCATTCCGAACTATCTGTACGCCTCGTGGAACGTGGAATGAGTAAAAATCAGCCGCTTTTCCGGAATAAGCTGCAAGCTGTCTACACTGGCCGCTTGAATTTCCGGAAAAGCATCGACGCTGTACTGTACAAAATCAGCCGCTTTTCCGGAAACGCTACGCTGCTCCCGCTCCGGCAAAAGTCCTTTTTCCGGAAAAGTGTTCCGGAAAAAGGCCAGTGTAGACAGCCCAATAGTCTTTTCTGCAAAAAAGTCCCGATCACGAAAATGACAATCGGGGTGAGGGCGTAAAGAGCGCGCACGCTACTGGCCGCACGTGGCAGGAGCCCCCCGGAGACCACCCTTCCCAGCTCTGCCACGTGGCAACTGTGCTGCCCAGCCACCTCAGCGCAGGCATGGCAGCTCCAGGTGGTCGTCAGCCACCGTCACCCAGGGCAGGGGAGGAAGCCCCCAGGGGACGCAAACGCAGGGCCCCATCCTGGACCGCTAGGGAGCTGGAGACCCTCCTGGACTTGTGGGAGGAGGAGGAGGGTCTCCATGACCTGCAGTCCCGTCGCCGGAACGCAGAGCTGTACACCCGTCTGGTACAGAACCTGGCCCAGCAAGGCCATCCCAGCAGCAACTGCGAGCAGGTGTGCTCGAAGGTGAAGGAGCTGCGGCTGGCGTACGTGCGGGCCACGGAGGGGAGGGGAGCAGGACCCGATGCCTGCCCCTATTTCGAGAGGCTGCACTCTTTTCTGGGTGAGCCAGCCCCACAAGCCCCAGCTGTCCCTGTAGACACCTGCCAGCACCCCCACATCAACCATCCCACTGAGCCGGAGGAGGGAGAGGACAGTGGCGGCACATCAGGAGAGGAGGCCAGTGTTGCCACCCAGCAGGCCCCCTCCAGCAGCTCCTCTGTGGCCGGGGAGGAACCCACTGGTGAGTCTTTGCAGGTTACACTCCCAAAGGGCGGGGGGTAGAGGGCAGGGAGAGCCAGGTGCCCGGAGGGGAGAGGGGGAGAGCATGGC